GAGAGAGAGAGAGAGAGAGAGAGAGAGAGAGAGAGAGAGAGAGAGAGAGCACACAAGCACAGAGTGCCTGGCACATACTAGGCACTTAAAATTTTTTTTTTATTAACATATCTACTATGGACCCATGTGAATTCTTCTTTGAGACTAGGATGGCTAGGATACTTGACCTTGAAAATAAAGTCAACATAAGTTCTTACATTAATTATATTGAATGTGACAATATTTTTAAAAATTTTGACTCAAGGAAAAATATTACTAAAATAAGCCTTTCCCTCTTAATCCTCTTGATTAAAGTTAAAGAGAATCTAAACAAAAACTTATATTCTCCCTTTTCATGTTAATTAAACTGTACAAATTAATTACTAAATTAAACTGTACAAAAATATATTACTAGGTCAAGAATACGCAATTTCATCAATGTAGACATGCCTCCACTAACAAAAGATTGTGATCCCTTGGTAATTTAGGATCCCACAGCTTTCAAAGTAAAAAAATGAATCATGCCCAGTGGCCAATCTGATAAAGAACCTCTCAGAATTTAGCTTGCCCGGTCCTCAGATCACAGAGAAACAGTCACTCTCTAGGCTCAGCCTTACCAGCTTGATAGAATCTGCTAGAGATTACAACCTACTAGGAAAACCTTTGGGAACCTCGGGTCACCTACTGGACATGATGAGGCACTGGAATAGGGCTTTAATGTAGGTATACAAAAAATAAAAAGCCAGGCTGAGAGTAGGCCCACTATTTTCATAAAACAAAATTTATTAGTCAATATATTACTGAGAGGAATATATGCAAAGGATGCTACTAACTTCCCACAGTGTAAGTATCATTTTTAAGCAGGAAAATTCAAAAGAGTGGAGGAATTTTGACTTATATTATGTAGGGCTCAAATGTTAATTTTTTTTCAGTCAGGTTTGGAAAACTATTTTATGTTCCTTGGTTATTAGTCAAGCTTAAGTTACTTCCTATAAAATGATGTTGTATTAACTTAAATAAATTAGCAGTGAGTCTTTCAAAACAATTATAACAGACTTATTTGAGTGATACTACCACAGCTGAAAACTTTTGGAAAACTCCTTATTTGGAACTGTATTAAGAGCCTGTTATTATCTTTTGAATGTAAGTCAGTCAACAAACAGTCAGTGCTTGCTATGTGCCAAGTCCTATGCTAAGCGCTGGGAATACAAAGAAAGGCAAAAAACAATCCCTATCCTCAAAGGGGAATACATATAATATATATACATGGAAGATATGTAACAGAGGAGGTGAAGGTAATTCTGAAAGGAGAAGTCATCTCTTTGGAGAAGATATTTATCTTTTGAGGGTGTCTTTACTTTTTGGAAATAGCGAAAGGTTATCCAGAAACAAGTCTAGTGAATAAACTGGATGATCAATCAGTGATAATATCATTTTAGGTCAGAGCAGGAAGCTATCAAGTAACAAAATTGATTCTTATAAAATAACTGAAAGTAATTCCAAAGCACCAAAAAGATTTTAAGCATCAGTTTCTGCTCACTCAGTAAACGATAAATGTATATTCCATACCTAACTTGTCTCTGCAGCATCATGTAAGATGGAGGCACCTGCGCCGGAGGTGGCAGGGACCAGCTTCTGGTAAAAGACACATAGTGGGAGCTGGAAAGGGTGACATCTTTAAAACTAGCAGGCTTGGACAGTCCCGATCTGTTTTCAATGGCACCTAGGGATAAAGGAAGGTCTTGCTCCCCTGTAACATGGGCACCATGTACTAAGCTGGGTGTGGGGACAGCACTACCTCTGAGAACTGCACTTGAGGCTTTGGTCTGTTTCAGTTGTCCATTTCAGATCAAGGCACAGGCAGTAGAGACCCTGGACCTGGAAGCCAAGATTGCAGTCTAGATGCTGCTGCCAGCCTGGCAGGGATGCCCTGAAAAGCCAGGGTGCCCAGACACAAACCTTGGGAGGCTTTAGACTTGGAACTTGGTGGAGCTATCCTACACAGAAACTGCATTAAGCTGTGACTCTAATCTCCTCCCCAGAGATTGAAGTGGTATAAGGTGGGGAGGTAATTATGCTCCCCAGATGTTGGGAGGGGGTGTTTATATGTTTGTTCTTGTAATAGCTTTGAAGTAAATATTCCTTTGTAAAAGTTAATATGACTGTTAAGTGGTTAGGTGGAACTAGGGTGCTAGAGGCCCCTAAACTTGGGAAGAACAATCATGGAGAGAGACATTGCCTAACTTCCTTATCAGAGAACCTTGGGGGAAAAGGTGAAATGTAACATACCTGGCTATCAGGCAGCATAGGCCAGGGCAGTTAAACAATGTGAGCCCTCACTGAGGCAAGGCAATCCTTTTATATCTCCCTTATTGATTCACTGCCCCACCCCCACACAGCAGCTTTTCCAAACCATCTGTCTTCAAATCTACCATGGCTCTCTCACCCCGACTCTCTCAGTGGAGAACCTTGCCTCACATTTCACTAAAAAATCTCAGGCCATTTGCCAAGAGCTTCCTCTTTCCCTCCTCCTCATCTCATATCATTTAAATGCCTTCCCCCACCATTTCCTCTTTCACTTATGCCAAGGCAAACCTCTGTATATGAAGAAGTGATCTCATCTCATCTCCTCCAGCTTGTATCCCCAATCTTACTTATCCTTAAACTCTCCTCTTCTGCTGGCTGCTTCCCTGCTGCCTACAAATATGTCTATGTTTCAGATCCTTAAAAAACCTTCCTGTCATATGCTTATTCCCAGGAGCTTTCATGCTCCATCTTTCCTCCCTTTTGTGGCTAAACTAGAAGGCTGTCTACAATTAAGGCCTCTACTTCTTTTCCTCTCACTTTCTTCTTAGCGCTCTGCAGTCTGGCTTCCTCCTTCATTGTTCAACTGAATTGGCTCTCTCCAAAATTACCAGTGATCTCTTTAATTACCAAATCTAATGGCTTTTTCTCAATCCTTTCCTTTTTGACTTCTCTGCAGCCCTTCACATGGTCAATGACCCTCTCCTCCTTGATACTCTCTTCTCTCTAGGCTTTCATGACATTGCTCTCTCCTGGTTTTCCCCCTATCTGCCTGACCACTCCTCCTCAGCCTCCTTCGCTGAATCTTCATTTACATCATAACTACTGGGTGTCCCCCAAGGCTGTCCTGGACCCTATTCTCTTCTCCCTCTGTATTACTATACTTGGTGATCTCATAAGCTCCCATGGATTCAATTTTCATCTCCACTTTCAATTTTTTCATTTTTCATCTAGATGGTTCTCAGATCTATTTGCCAGCTCCAAATTCTCTCCTGAGCTCTAGTCTTACTGCCTATGAGACATGTCAAATTGAACGCCCAGTAGACATTTCAAACTCAACATGACTAAAACTGAGCTCATTATCTTCTCCCCCTTACCCTGTCCTGAGGGACAAGCCTTCCCACTTCCTAACTTCTCTATGACTGTGGAGGGTACCCTCACCCAGTTTCACAACTTAGGTATCATCTTTGACTCCAAGTTCTCTCTCACCCTTTACATAACAATCAGTTGCAAAGTCCTATTTATTTAACCTTTACAACATCTTTTATATATACCCTTTTCTCTCTTGACACTGCCACCACCTAGGTACAGTCCCTCATGCCATGCCTGGGTTACTGAAATAATCTGCTGGTTAGTCTCCCTGCCTCAAGTCTCTCCTCACTCCAGTCCATCTTCCATTCAGCTAGAAAAATGATCTTTCTAAAGCATATGTTTGACCATGTTATCCCTCTTCTCAAAAAAAACTCTAGAACAGGGGTGGGGAACCTGCAGCTTCAAGGCCACATGTGGCCCTCTAGGTCCCCAAGTGCGGCCCTGTGACTGAATCCAAACTTCACATGTGACAGTTCCCCAACCCTGCTCTAATGGCTCCTTAACACCTCCAAGATCAAATAGAACATCATCTGTTTGGCTTTAAAGCCCTTCATAAACTGGCTCTCTCCCCCTTTCGAGTCATCTTATGCCTCACTCCCCTCTAAGTACTCTGAAATCCAGTAACCCTAGCCTCCTTGCTATTCCCCAAACAAGACACTTCATCTCTTGATTCTGACCCTTTTCACTCGCTATCATCTATGCCTAGAATTCTCTCCCTCTTCATCTCTTATCTTCTGACTCCACTGGCTTCCTTCCAGTCTCAGCTAAAGTCTTATCTTCTGCACGAAACCTTTCCTGGTCCTCCTTAATTTGAGGGCCTCTCTTCTGAGACAATCTTCAATTTATCATGTAAATATCTTGTTTGTACATAGCTGTCTGCATGTTGTCTAGCCTCTTAAATTGTGAGCTCCACAAGAGCAGGTCTATCTATCTGTCTGTCTCTCTCAATTACCAGCACTTAGTACAGTGCCTGACACATAGTAGGCATTTAATTAAGGATTCCTGATTTGACTATTGTGAAGAACAACCTTTTTTGAATGTAAAAATTTCTTGTACGTTTATTTTTAGGAAATCAGTTCTATTATGTTATAATCACACTTCCAGTGGCAGTGGGACATCATGGATAAGGGGGCTAGCTGCCCACCCATGGCATTAAATTATTGCCTTGGCATGTATTGGCTGTGTGATCATAGGCATGTCACTTAAACTTCCAGGGCGCCAGACATACCTTTAAGACTATAAATTACAGATAAGTTAGCAACTACAGTTTCCCACATTAATGAAATTAGAGGCCTGAATCCTGTCCCCTCCTTTTCTCCCACCCTGACCAAAGAAGTTGCACCACATATACTAATATTTTAAACTGACAGTGATGCCTGTATCATTAAATTTGTCTTTTAATCATTTATATTACTGTTAAAACATTAATACTCATAAGTTTTAGAACAACAGTAAGACTCTTTAAAAGCAATAAGAATATCTGTGATTTAATCAGTAGTCTGTTGTAGAGAACTCTCAGATGAGATAATTCCTAGGGAGTTGCTAGCCCAGGGTTGCCAAAACCATTAAGACTAGGTGTGAATACAGGTTCAAACTCATCACTGTACCAAATGTCATGCTTTCTTTTTAAAAGGCACCACTGTAGCAAAATCTGCTTCCTTTTGTCATCTGGCTTTTCATTTTTCACACCTTCTACATGAATTCTTTCCCCCCCCTTTCACCTGAATTTTAACCACCCCCCCCCCCCCAAAAGAAATTCTACCTTAAAGTCTGGGGATTTATTTTTATTGAGATGGAGAATGATGGAGTTACAAAAATCATAAGCTAAAACATAAGAGGAGACATAGATAGCTATACCCTGATAAGATTTTCATTTCCAGAAATATTTCATGAATAACCAACCTGAAAATAATATATTATAAGAGGAAGCATAATAAAATTTAACCTGGAATATGTATTAGCTCCTGCTTGTATAAGAGTTGGCATAATAGCTATGAATAATCCAAGCTGTACATCCTGCGTTACCAGCATGCCAAGAAGCACACTGCTGTAGTCAATATCACCTGTTTGGGAATAAAGAATGGTATTTAAAATACAGGTTTAAAGCAGCATAAAATATCTTACACATATAAATACTGTCATGCTGACTTGGTCTGAAACTTTAGACTAGTCACTAAAAGGGTATTTTTTTGCCATATAAAAACAATGCAGATTTAAAAATTTTTTTCAAGGTAAAATAATAAATATATTTCAAAGAAGATTTTAATAAGGGCTCTTAGAATAAATATGCTTACATCATTTACGTGCCTACAACATTACCTTTCCGTAAGTTAAATAACATTACTGAGGATATTTCTGCATTTGAATCGATGACAAATTTCATTCAGTGCCAGAAAAGTAGATAAGAAGCTTTCTTTCTTAATCCATATTTTGTTCTTCAAGCTAGTCAAAATGGCCTGACCTACATCTCTACTCCCAACTCAGTCTAAACCTCTGACCAGGTTCTAAGTCTTCTTGCCAACCATAGCAATTTCCCCATTACAGAGCTGTCACTGATTGCACAATTAACATAAAGCAAAAAGAAAGTGTGTGAAAGAGAAGGTAGATTTGAAGGTGAGTGGTTCAGAAATAACAGTGAAATGCTAGTAAAAGAACACAACTAAGGGAAAGAAGAGAGGAAAATTGGGTTTTTTTGCATGTGTTTTTTTTTAAACTAGACATTTTATATTTGCTAAGTACTTTTAAAAAAGTATCATGAACTGGTGCATTTTGAAAAGGACCATTCTGGTTTTGATGTCTATTTTTTATTACACTGTGTAACCAGAATTACCCTGGTTTACAAATATAAGCAATGACTCTGCTCTGAGTCACTTTTGGAGCACCTAAATCAGGGGCCCTGAATTCACAAGCAGTAGTTTCTATTTCATACACTTAAGATTTATGAACTCAATAATTTGCAAAATATTGACAGAAGTACCCAATATTCAACCAAAGAATCTGACAGCCTTACTTGAAACCATTAGTTAATCAAAAACATCATCTAAATATACTTCCAAAAATATATTTGAATAGGAGTGATATTTTTCTGGAAAAAATGTTTTTTAAGGAAAATTTTAATGCGTATTTTACAAGAGATTATGTGTATATGAGACTACATTCCTAAAACAAGTCCTGCCATCTGTACCAAAATTTAACCACTATTTTTTTTACTCCTAGTATACTACCAGCTAAAAAATCTCATTTAAGGTTTAGTTCTTCCCATTGACCTTGATTAAAAGAAAAGATGACAGATTCAGAGGTGGAAAGTGACTTAAGAGTCCTCTAGTCCACCCATTTTATAGAAGAGAAAGCCAAAGAATAGAAAGGTAGGATATAGAGGGTGTGAAGTGGCAAAACTCATATTCAAACCCAAGTCTCTGACTCTAAATTCAGCACCCCCCCACCCTCAGTTGTAGTGTTTCTGTCCCGCTTTGTTACTGGCTCCCATGGATGGTGGTGGTGGAGGGCCAGGGCTATAAGCAAGTTTGGCTGTAAGCAAAGATGGAATTCTGCACACAGATCACCAGATAAAATGGAGGCAAATCAGCAGCAACGCCCACCCAGCCTAACTCATCTCAGATGTATCTAGCCAAGCCTTTGAAAAAGTGATTCACCACAGCAGGGTTATTCCATGATAAGTCTGGTAATCCTTTTAAGAGATTTTACAGGATTTAGAGTGCAAAATTAAAATCCAAGGACCTGAAACACCCTAGTTAAAATTTGGATACATTTTACATGTTTGATTCTGTCGTAGTTTTCTATATCCTCAGTATATGCTCTTAAAACTCATCATAACTACAAAAATTCACCAACTATGTCCTGGAAATAGTTTCTGGAAATGCTTTAGGCCAAACAGCATTTTTATCAGTTCTTACATCACTTTTTAATTTCATTTATTTAATGAGTATTAAGCAACAATTATAGCAGTTCGAGTATCATAAATCATATTTGCATTGCATACTCATTTTTTAAACTTCATTTCTTTCAGGACTACAAACTGTCCAAATTTATGGGGCTGCATTTTTCAAAGTCAGTAGTAGATTAGAATTAGATGAATTTATAGGAGCTTAATTCTATTTGTGATACTACCAAAAAGTTTGTCTGTCAAGACCTAAGAAGAACACAACAATCTCAATGCTTTTATCACTTGACTTAACATTAATTTATAAAATAAATTCACTCTATATGTAATTGAAGAAATTCATGTAACAGTATATCACCTACCTTCTTTATCACCTCGGGCACTACCAACAAGGAACCTGGACACCAAGGGTGTGCTTGATAAGGATAAACAAGTAGAAATAAAAACACTTTGTGTTGGTCTGATTTGTAAAAAGTGTCCCCACAATAAGCCAAATGAAATCATTAGGAATGTCATATAGCATGAGCCTTGCAAGGAGATCTTCCATACCTTAAAGAGAACAAATTTATTTAAACATTTTAATAACTTAATAGGCCATCTCCTTTCCAAAGCCTGAGATGCTGCACACACAAATAAAACTGGATTGTACATTTAAACTATGTACTGAACATAACAGCAAAATTTCCACAGCTAGCAACAAACAATTGAACATGTGCCTACTATAACCAGAGGCAGTATGGTGAAGTTCAAAAAAGCAATGAATCTGCAAATCAGGAGACCTGAGTTCAAGCCCTACTCTTGCTACATACTGGTTGGGACAACCTTCCTGAGCCATTTAAACTCTTAGCCTCAGGTTTCTCATCTCTAAAATGGGGACCCTGTTCTACCTTGTTGTTTTGTATATCAAGTGAAATAATGAATGTTACAGTACTTTACAAAGCTTAAAGTGCTAAAAAAGAATAAAGTGATATCAGCACTGTCCTGAGCACTCTAGGAAATAGAAAAGACTTCAACAAACATTTATTAAGGGCCTCCTACAAAGCAGTGATCTAGGTTCTTAGAGATACAAAGATAAACAATGTCACTGTCCCTGCCTTTAAATAACACACTCTACTAAAGGTAGATAAGAATATAGTTTCTGTCCTCAAGGAGCACTAGTCCAGTTGAGAAGACAAAACTATAGATACTCTCCCTTTCAATTATACTCACAGAGAGTTTTTGATGAAACTGAGATCTCATCAATGTGGATACTCCCTCCAATAATGCAGACAGCAACCCATTCATAGCCACCCAGCCTGTGAGAGTACCGTGTAACCATCAGTCCCTCATGGGGGGAGTCCTTCTTCTGGTTCTCCCGGTATTACATGGACAGAGCACACAGGCTGCCCCTCAGTGAGCCCCTGCGTCTACTTCCTAACTGGTCCATTGTTATTTCCCAGGCATATCCTTCATGTTGCTTCTGGGCAATTTTTCATTCATAGTGTGTTACAGCTTGTTCATACTGACTGTTTACATAAATATGAATAGATCATGTAATATATAATGTCTTTAGTATAATTATGTGTATAATATATATATGTAATAATACAGTGAAAGAGATAAATGAGGGGCAATGCTGTGTCCTGGATAAATAGCCAAACTTAGAGTCTGAAAGACCAGAGTTCAAGTTCTGCTTCTGACAGATACTGGCTGTGCCGCACTGGACAAGTCCCTGCACCTCTCAGTGCTCCAGGCATCTAAGACTTTAAGTTGCAGAGAAAGGACTCCCGATTTTTCCACTGTCCTGTTGCTCCCTGATGTGCAGCCATGTCACGTTCTACTATTCTCCATCATGTTATGTGACTACACATCATAGAGCACTAAAACAACAGACATAATCAGGCGGTAGCACTTTACCAATGAAAACCTGCATGTGCACAGGCAGGGGGGCACAGTCCAACCTCAGACATGCACCGGCTGTATGATGATGGGTAACCTCTTACACCCTACATAACTCTCTTAAGAAGATAAGTTGCAGGGCAAATGACAAGGAACATTGATGAGAGTTTCTTTTGGAAATCCTTTATACCGATGAATCATGGATCAGGTAAAAAAAAAATCTTCATACAATTGGTGCTGTGGAAGTCATGAATGAAGTTACATACAAGCAAAGAGGCACTAGATTAAACAGGTATCAAGAACTTGACACAAATAATAGATCCAAGTGTTAAACTGGTAACTCCAAAATATTAAAATAGGGCCTCTAGCGCATCAAGTAGATTTACCAGGCTGAACTTATGGAAATTTGTGAATAAAAATCAGATAGGTAGGATCTGTACTGATGACAAATATATGTGATTTCACTGGAACAGAGGTGGCCAAAAGTAATGCATCTTTTCACTTAAATACCCATCTAAGAAATCATGGACTCAACAAATTCCAAAATAATAATTTTATATTAATTCTACAAATGAACACGAGCTAAAAAACTATTTCTATTTTACTTTTAAAGGCTATTTTTAAATTCAAAGCTCACAACACATTTTAAAGGGCTGCTCAAAATTGTACTTTTGTTTTGATTAGGGAAATGGAAAAAAAGAAATGTTTGCTATGCCCATGATCCTGGCAAAGATACAATGTAGCATATAAATCTTAGACCCTACGTACAAGGGACTTATAATCTAGTATACTAGATATGCAACAAGAAAAATATCAAATAAGAAAATGTATTTAAATAATAATTTGAACCTACCCCATAAAAGATGTGATATATTTGCCAAATGAGTGATACTAACGGTTAGGAAAGAATCTAATAACAGGGAAGAAGCATGGTACAGTGAGAAGACTTGGTTCAAGGCCTGCCTCACACTTATTACCTCTGTGATCTCATGGCAAATTATTTAACTTTCCTTGGCCTCAGTTTCCTTATACATAAAATAAGAGGTCTGGATGATATTGCCTCTGTAGTCCCTTCCAGCTCTAAATCTATGATCCTAATTGTTAGAGGAGCTCAAAGAAGAGATTATTTCAGAACAGGGGAATCTTTTTTCAAAAAGGAAAATTTTTTAGTTATTTAAATTATTAAAACAGTTTTGTAAAAAGATAATTTTCTCTTTTCTAATTTAAAAATAGACTGTAAGAAGGTGCCTTGTCTAATTATTAAATATTACATTTCACTAAGACTAAGAGATTCCCAAAACACTGAATGGCCACAAGGTGGCGGTAAGTACTTTTGTGGCAATATGGGAACTGGTTCAGTTGAGGGTATAAAACAAAAGGCAAAATGATTATGAACTGAATCAGAAACTTTTAAAGCTGAAAGGGACAGAATTGATTTAGTCTAATCTCTCATTTTATATATGAATCCCAGCAGAGAGGTTAAGGATGCATAGTTAGTTCAATTCAACAAATACATATTAAAGGCCTCTTCTGTTTGCCATAATCGGGTATCCTGACTTTTTTGCCCAGTGTTTTTCACTTCCTGAGAGTAAGCAGATGCAGTATATTTCATTAAGTAGATATGGCTGTGAGATTACTCAAAATAAAAAAAAATGAAACATGGAAAAAGTATAGATGATAAAAACATATAGAAAAGCTGAATATATAGTATTGATTCTGGGTACTTTCAAGACTTGAAAGCAGCAGTTTTTAATTTTTTAAAGTTCATGTTTGTTCAGTGAAACCAAAGATCCTCAAGACCATCTAGTTAAAATTGTTTCCCTGAATAATGTAAGTAGAATAGTTCTATTTTTGCTTAGATGTATGAAATGCCATAAGTATAGGGGGTTAATTTAATTCCACAAGTATTCATAAAGTTCCTACTACATGCAAAAGCACTAGGCATACAAGCATTTTAAAATGACCCTTTTCCTGATCACAAGGTACTCACAAAAGAGATAAATAGTTAAATACTGAGATGAATCCATGCTCTCACTCCACGAACTAGTAAAAGATCACATCACCTCAAAACTCCTCTGTATAATTCATGTCCACATTTTCCGCTGATCCTCTATAGAGGCTACATCCAAAAAGTTGAAAAACTCTGTTGTAAAATATCAAGGATAAATCTTGCTACAAGATAAACCCCACCTCTTTTTCAAGTTTTATATATCCTTGGTAAATTATTTTATCCCTTTTCTCATGCACAAACCATTTTTGGTAATAAACCATAATCTACTTCCACCTATCATACATCTAACATTACTTTCTGGGTTACTTTTTTATTTTTATTCTTGTAATGAATTTTGGAAACAAATAAAAAGGTATGGTCACATTATAAACACTTAATATTACCAAAGACCCTAGAGGACTTTTGCAAAATTCATTTTGAGATTCACTATTTTAAAGTGATTTCTGGATAGGCTTCACAAAATAAGTAAATAGGAGGTGGAGCCAAGACATCAGAGTAGCACGAAGAAGTACAATGAATCCCACTCTTTCCCAAACTACTCCTGAAAACAGAAAATGTACCAGACTAAATCCTTATCAGGAAATCCAAGAAAATCAGTGAGTCATTTTTCCAGATCAGAGTGGCAAAATGAGACAAATAGAGGTCTGCAGACATAGGAAATGACAAAGTCTAGCCAGGAGGGTACTTTGTAGAGTGCTGTAGCACACACAGAGGTTGTTCACCAGGGCAGAGAAGGTCCCAGATCCACCACAGAGGGGCTTTAACTTGTGCACAGGGGCCTGCACGGCAGGGGCCAACTGGCAGTTAAGAATCACAGATCCATGGTAGACTGAGAAAGAAGCCTGTGCGTAGGGGTGGTATTCCAAAGTGACAAGCAACTACAGGCCTGAGGTTACATACTGAGCAGGAAGCAAGCAGAAGCTGTGTGACTTGTACCCTGGGAACATAATGGGGTCTCAATTCCAACTTCTAGCCCAGTCTAAAGTCTGTGTCGGAAAAAACCAGGATAGGAATCTCAGACCAAAGGGTAAGCTTTCAGTTCTGTCCCTCCAAACTGGCTAATAATGGCTGACTACAGCAGCAATCCGCTCAACACCAAATGGGGCAAGCCCAATGTCAGAAACTTGCAGAGCTCAGACCTGGGAGACAGAAATCAGACTTTGCCCTAAGCAATCTACTTTAGGAGTGCTGATTGCTCACAGGTCCCTAGCTGGAGCTCTCCTTGAAATAATCTTGAAACAACATAACATTTAATATCCCCAAGAAAGCAACAGCAGGACTAGCCCAGACATTCCCACTAGAAGTGGGCAGAGACTGAACTCTAACAAAGTCTGAAGTCAGGAAGAAGGAAGAAGAGAACAAATGAGCAAAGCAACAAAAAATGAATCCAATCATAAAAAGCTAATTATGGTGACAGGGATACTCAAGACACAACCCCCCCCCCCCAAAAAAGAGAATGATTCCAAAATATTTACAAGCAAAGCCTCAAAGAAAAAACATAGCTTGGGTGAAAATTCAGCTAGAATTCTTGGAAGAAATGAAGCAAGAATTCTTTTTAAAAAGAGTTGAATATGTTCTTATAAATGAACACTGGACTGTTATTTCCTCTTTTAAGAGCTGCTATTGCTACTTAATACGATCTTTTGTTTAAAGTAACTCAGACCACTTGATTATGTAGTTTAAAGCATATCATAGTTCTAAAGTGAACAAGTTTTAAATAGTAAAGAGGGTAAATGGTCCCAAAACACTGTACTAAGGTATTTCAGATACACAATATGATTTGGACAGCAAATTCTCACATACCTTTCTCAACTTTTCTGGAGAAAACTCCAAGCCAACAAGAAACAGAGTAAAGAACACACCAAATTCTCCTAATGTCTCCACTTGCACAATAGACTGCAAGACAAAGACATAAAAATAACACATAAATTAAAATATAACAAATATATAAATATAAATGTAAGCAAAGATATAAATAGGTCTAATTAATATGTTAATTGTATTAATTGCATATAATTATATCAAGATGTAATATGTAAATATAAATTATATATAACTGTTAATATAATAAACCTATATTTAAAAGTTTGTTACTGGTTGATTTAATGGGCCTGTCCCAATACTCTGATAAAATATAAGTGAGATGAAGTTCCCATTAAAAGCAAAAGTCTCTTTCTAGGGGTAGCTAGGTGGCACAGTGGATAGATGTCTGGCCTTGGAGTCAGGAGGACCCAAGTTCAAACTCAAGTTCAAATCTGGCCTAAACTCTCTCTCTCTCTCACAAAGGACTTTCCCAAAAAAAGTTGAGTAAAACCATCTAATAGATTAACTGTGACTGATAATACACAATACTTTTCACTTTTACAATAATTTTTAACAGAAAGAAAGGATATGTACTTTAATAATTTCATACTAACATCATTCACGGTTTCTGGTCACAGGGTTTTTTTTGCCTTTTAACATCATTTTTATTCACATAGTTATAATTGTGTACATTTTGTTAATTAGTTGCCTTCACTCTGAACAACTTCATAGAAGTCTTATCATTCTCTTAATTCTTCATTTCTATACTCTTATGTAGCAGTAACATGACACTGCATTTATATCAGTTTGTTCATCCATTCCAGAATCACTGGACACTAATTTTGTTTTCAGCTTTTTATTGTCATAAGTACCATTATTGTTATAAATATTCTAGAAAGAATTGAGCTGAGAATACATTGGAATATTAACGCAAAACTGTATTTTAACTTGGAATGATCATGTCTTTGTTCAAGATTAATATGTTAACCAACATATTAATTGTCTTCGGACAGAGACGTGTTGGAAGGCATCAGTGAACTATGAGAGTCTGGACATATCTTGTTCTCTAAGCCAGAAATGGCTTGGGTATTTAAATAATGTTAAATTAAGTTAAAGTAGCTAGCATTTATATAGTGCTTCAAGGATTGCAAAGCACTTTACATGTGTTATCTCATTTGATCTCCACAAGAACCCTATGACAACTGTGCTATTATTTTGCCCATTAGTTAAGAAAACTACGGCTAAAAGAAGTTTAAGTGACCTGCCCAGGCTAACACTGCTACTAAATTATATATAGATTAAGTGTCTAAGATCGGATTCAAACTCAGGCTTCCTGACACATTTCCTGGCAGACTTCCTAAAATAAGAGTATTGTATTAATATGTTTCTTCTGATAGTTAAATGTTGCTATGCCTGATAGAAAGCCAGTATGGGCCTAGGACTACTTCTCTTCAAAAGACTTTCACACCCAAATAAACAGAGGTGAGAAAACTTTTAAACCCCTACAAGAACTTATTCAGAGCAGAAATGCTTCAGTATTGATGATTTCTAAGTTCACAAAATCTGACTGACTGAAAGACCAAGTCTATCAATGAATGTACATTGTGCATGCCTATTCCTGTCTGTGTTTGTAGTAACCTTGTACAGTATATTATATATGGTATGCCTTAAACCCTAGTCCTTTAATGGCTAAAGCCACCTCTCAGGTCAGAGACTAAGCCAAATTTCAGATCCACTAGATCAATAGGGGAAAGGACCCAACACCTCTGATAGCAAAGGAGATTGTCCCTAACCCTGTGGGACTGGTCACAAGGATGCTTTCCCTCCCATTATCTTAGCATCAAGTAGCAAATTGTCTAGGCCTGGTGGCCCAGTTTGTGAGCAGGAAGTTAACTGTTCCCAGTCCTCTGGGAATTCTATAATCCTATGGCTCGCTATCCAGGAACTTCCAACCTGCCGAAATTGATTAGTTTGGCATTTTCTTCATTGTTTGGTGTATTGTTTTAGTGTCTCTCAATCTGTTCTGGGTTTAGATTTTTTAAAAAGCCTAAGGCCTGATTTTAAAATTAGTCGTTCCTCCACAGTAAAGAAGTATATGACCACAAGATCACAAGACTCTTCCCCCATCCCACCTCCCCAAGTGTAGTCATTCCATATCCCAAATAACTGAAATTAAATCAGAAACATCTTCAGTTTGGTTTGGGGAAGAGAATTTCAGTGCAATCAATTTTCTTAGAAGGAGGTAATCTATTTGGCTTAGTCATTACTTAAGTATCTTCCCAAGTCTTTTGTTACAATTGGAGTAAAAGTCAGTTTCTGGCAAATTCATTTATGTAACTATTGAACCCAAGGGTGGAAAACTTCTACCTGCAAAAGTGTTGTTACTTCCCAATAGCACCTGATCCTCCTAAAGGAATTGGAATCAGAGTGGAAACTTTGGAGAAAGCAACAAGATCAGACACAACCCTGTATGTCAAATGTGAATGATTCTAATGGGGCTCTTGCTTTCTTTCTTTATTTTCCCCCATTCTGACATCACTTTTACGTCTCCCTATATTTGGGCCCTCCATATTAAACTTGCTTGTCAAACTTGCTTGTCAGATTTGTGTCTTCAAGACTACAGGCCATTCACCTACAGTTGGTAGCAAACAGTGGGTACCAGTCCATGTCCACCCATCATCACCTGGATGCAGCCTATGATTGGTTCCAGTCAACCTCCTCCCCTGGACCCTTTCGAGGCAGGGACAACTCTACAACCCTTACCAGCAGGAAGCAGTTTCAGAAGCCAAGACCTTCTCCTCTTACCCCAAAAGATTTTGGGTCCCATTGGTTTGAGGGGGGAATGATGGGGTGATGGACCTGGACCCTGAATTTTCCCATACATTTTAGCAACCCATTCCCTGGACTCTCACCTGAGGCATCTGGCCCATCCCAGCCCACCTATATACTCAATAATCTTTTTAAATGATCTTTCACTGTGGCTTTCTGACCGCTTAACTCCTTTCATTGGCTATGCCTGGCCCACCCCAGGCTATTTACCACTCCTTAATTCCAACCAGATCTTCTCACTATCTTTTCTGGTATGTAAGTATCAGTCTTATCCCTACCAGACCCCACAGACTCACTAGGAACTCTGCCTGCTCCTATTGGCATTACAACACTACAGATTTACTAGAAATCTGCCTGCCATGCTGGTGTTACAATAAAACCTCACTACTCTGACTGAAAGAAGACTTAAGTGGTCGAATTCTTTAGAGGCAGACCCCCGTACTCTTGCATTTAGGGGTTCCCAGCACCCAACCCTACTCAATAAACTCCAGTGACTTCTTATTGTCTCCAGGAAAAAAACAGAAAATGTTGTTTGGCATTCAAAGCCCTTTATAACTTACCGCCTTCCTACCTTTTCAGTATTACACCTTATTTACCGCTCTTCCCCTCCTCCCCAATCTTCATTCACTTTCTTCAACCCTGCCCCCCACCTACTCTTTGATCTAGTGACACTGACCACCTGGCTGTTCCATGGACAAGACACTCCACCTCTCAGCTCTGGGTATTCTCTCTGGCTGTCCCCCATGCCTGAAACACTCTCCCTCCTCTGCTCCAACTACTGATTTCCCTGGCTTCCTTTAGGTCCTATCTAAAATCTCACCTTCTACAGAAAACCTCCCCCAATTCCTCCTAATTCTAATATCTTTCCTCTGTTAATTATCTCTTACTTATCCTATATATAGCTTGCTTTGCATATATTTGTTTGCATGTTGTCTCCCCCATTAGAATGTAAGTTTCTTGAGGGCAGATATATATTTTGCCTCTTTTTTCATCCCCACTGCTTAGCACAGTGCCTGGCACATACTAGGCACTTAATGTTTATTGATTGATTGACTGATCCTAGTGAAGTAAGTAGGAGAGAAGTGAGATTTAATTGTAAGCTTTTGTAATAACATCAACACTATTCCTTGATCAGGAAACTCCAAGAATTTTCACTGGCTATCCTCCATGCCTGGATTGCTTTCCCTCCTCATCTCTGCCTCCTGGATTTCTTTAAGTTCCAGCTTAAGTCTCACTTTCTATGAGAAGCCTTTACTGATCTCTCAGTATGCTAGTTCATTATCTCTAATTTATTCTGTAGATACCTTGTTTGTACACAGTTATTTACATTGTGTCTCCTCCATTAATCTGTGAGCATATTGACAGCAGGTATCTTTTGCCCTTCCCTATAGTCCCAGCACTTAACACGATATGTGACACATGTTAATTATTTTAATTATTACATATTATATAATTAATACATATATATGATGGACTGACCTTACTCATTCATCAAGACTGGCCAGACAATTCAAAGAATTAAGAATCCCTTCTGAGCTCTGGCCATGAAGTCACGCCAGAGGTTCACAAGGAACCGTCCACATCTATGGCCCCATGAAAGTCTGAGCCCTGACTCAGGGACTCTGAGCAGTACACATGTAGGACTAAGTTGTCCACCCTGTTATATGGGAGCTCAAACCTCCAGGGAACCCGGGTATTTCACAAGTAGTGTTCTTGAAATCAGTGGAGTTTCTGATCTTTATAACCATCTAGTAACAGTATGCACAAATCTTTAAGATGATGATGTAGTAGCTGCAATACTTCACAAGATTTGTTGGATTCAACAAATAATAGTAAGTATACTTTTGAAATGAGTTATAGCAATATTAGAAAAATTCATACATGGATTCAAAATATGTGCAACAGCTATAGCTAAGGGGATCAGACTACGTATCTGCCAGATGACCAACAGAATAAAGTTCCAATTACCTTTAAGTTAGCTGCCTTGATCCCAGACAGTTTTGTTAATTGGCACAGTCTTCTGGGAATTTCATGCGAGTAAAGAACTGGCTAGAGATTCAATTATGTTTAAAAACTGGGACTTACTTCTTCCACTGAATTGCTTTCTGTACCTCAATTCAAGGAAATGATCCAACTCTGTTATGTCACTTAGTATACTATAATAGCCGTGTCATTTCATCGTTTTGCTGCATTCATTATATTAAGGCAAAACACAGAGAACTCCATATTTTGAATCAAATAGAATAATGTATGCTGCTACTAACTAGCTGGCACAAGATCAAGATTCTAAAATAAACAAAGATTATGCTTTGAAAAAACTGCAAATAGCATAAAAGGGGGAATTGTCAAAAATAAATTTAAGAAGAATGTACCAGCCACGCCGACCTTATGCCGGCCGTGCCGTACTCTCCTCCTGTAAGGAGCAGGCTGCCAGAGTCATACTCACTTATCAGTCTTCGGTCCTCAACCGGATAAACACACAGAGACAAGCCATCGGGAGGTGCCAACACCAGAGCTTTATTCAGAGGCCATCACAGCAAGCCATCACAGCAAGGCCAAGCAGGAAGGCCAGAGCAACAGAGCAGGAGCCAAAAGAGAGCGTGATCTGACCACGCTTGTTCCTTAAGTACCTACTTAGCCCCTCCTCCCCAGCCCGCTTACTAGCCAATGATTGTAGGGTCAGATACCGGAAGGGGCTGTCTGAGTTTAGCACACCAAGGGAGAGGGAGTGATGTAGGAGGCTAGGACCGGATACAGGAAGGAGGCGTCTGGGATAGTGCATAGACAGAGTACGTGACCTAAGAAGTCAGGAAGGACACAGGAAGGAGGCGTCTGGGGTCAGTGCTACACAAAGGGACCCAGGAAGTCAGGAAGGTCACAGGAAGGAGGCATCTGGGGTTGACGTTGCATATAGGGAGGGGACTAAGCAAAGGGAACTGGTCCTCTGCCATCCCACTCCCATGTGGCACCGCCCCTTGCCTCAGGAGCACAAGCTCTGGCTACTTCCTTGCACCCAGCTTATCTCACATAGCACTGCCCACTGCCTCAGGGCTTCTCCGTACCCAGCCCATCCCAGTCCACCACGACTCCGCCTACCACAGCCCCTGCCTCGACTTCCAAAATACCCAGATCTTACCCTAATCTTGCCACAGCACCCACCTGGTAGTTGCCAACATCAGACAGTCCCTCACAGAAGTAGTGGTATTTTAAGAATATTTTGAAGGACCAAGAAAATGTTTGTGTCAATTGATGTGCCCTGTCCTTCTGTTTAAAACCTCCTTTTCAGTAAAAGTAATATTACAAAATACTATTTAAATCTAAAAAAAATCTAAATCTGATCCTCAAAAAAAATTCTTTTCCAGACTTCCCTGTTTCAAGATGATAGATTGAGGAAAGGGATTAAGGATGGAAATTGAAAACTGGCCAAAGAGAATTTCTAGACTTCTTTATCCCTTGAAGGATTAGCCTATGATCCATCCATTCCATTGTAGGGGAATTCTTCTATTACTGAAATTCTTGCTACTGATCTGTAGGAGAAGAATCAGGGATTCCAAGAAGGGAGGGGTCCAGGAAGGAACAAAATGGTGGCGTTGTTGCTCAACCATTATGGAATATTAATCCCAAATAGTATTTCTACATGTTGTGTTTTCTTCTTTGAGATTCTTACAAATGTTGTCTAAAATTGTCTTCGGGCAGAGAGCATTTGTTGGAGGGGATATAAGAATTATGCCAATTTAGACACTTCTGCCCTTGACAGAAATGGCTTGCATATTAGATTAATATTAAAAAAGATAAAAGTATTTCTAGTAGTCTTGTGCCTAACACACAAAATACATTTCTAAGATATGAAGAGGTTGTCTATCCCAAGACAATGTAAAATAAGTATCTGGATAGTAAAGATTGTTTCATATTTGTGTTTTTGTAAAGCCTAGCACAGTGCCTAGCACCATAGCAAGTGCTTATATTTGTTCTGTGAAGTTTGGATTCAGTCAAAGGGCAGTACATTAAGACCTAGAGGGCCACATGTGGCCTCAAGGCTGCAGGTTCCCCACCCCTGGATTAGACTGTCAACAGTATATAAGAAAATAAATATAGCACAGAGATATTCAGCATAGGCAACAAAAGCATTTTTAACATTTATTAGACAATCTTAGAGAGCATGTCTCTTCTAAGCTAATACTCAATGCACCCATAACCTAGCATTTACTTAAATACATACATGCTTAAAAATAATTCTGCATTTTGAGATCTCTAAATCAGATCTAATTTAAAAAAACTTTACAAAATTGGGTGATTTGACCAGTAGGAACATTGGGAAGATTTCTTCTGAATAAAACATGAAATAAAAGATAAAAGACTACTTTAATCAATGATTTAGTTTAATCAGAGTTTGGAGTCAGAGAAATAGTTTTTTTGGTATTATTATTATTTTTACTAAAAAGTCAAGTGGAAACTTTAAGGGAATGCAGTCTGGGGGCTAGGTGGAAGCTGAACAAAAGGAAGTTAAGTTAGAATAAGAAAACAAATAGATGGTATTTAACCATCTCTGACATATCCTTTTAAATCAATTAGCTATTGAAACAGATATAAGCCTTATTCTTACCTTAATACTGTTGAGTCCTGAAGGTCCCAGTAGTACGCCACAAATAATGTAACCAAACATTGTTGGCAATCCTATCATTGTACACAGCCAACCACATGGTAAAGATAACATTCCTATGGTAACAATGTCCTAAAAAAGAATATATTTAAAAAATTAAAAATAACTGTAGAATGAACAAGGATGCTCTCTTTAGGTAGACTACTACAGCAATGAGGAACATTATTAAATTTCTTTTTCACCTGTCCAAACTCACCAAAGGGTGTTGGGGTTTTTTTGGTATTTTTTTTTTGAATCAAGGGCTACCTCTTCATGTGAGAAAAGGGTGAAGAAGGAGATTGTAGGGAACAATGCTTAAGTGAGGTGAGATAAAGAGGAAGGGAAAAAAAGAATCCCTCTTTGAATGGCCTTAATATTTTCACTGAAATAGCAACTGAGGTTCTCAAGAGGAAGGGACACAATTAGCAACTTGAAGAGATATGAGAATGTATGGAACAGTCACTGAAGAGTAAGTGAATTAATTAAACAGGTATAAAAGGACTGTCCATTTGAGATGACATAACATTAATTTGTCATGTACTACAAATTATATTACACAATCACTCTTTCTAAGGGTCTATCCACCAGATTATTCTGCATATTATTCTTACAAAAAATATAAAATTTGTTATAGTCCTTGAATAACAAAAATACTTTGCAATCCTAACTTGGTGATTCTAGGATGCCTTCAATTAGATATACCAAAATTTTCAAAAGATGAAATTTCAATTTACAAAATAAATTACTCATGACATTTTTAGGAGGAAGAGTAGTTGTCAGACAAAGAAATAAGTATAATGTATTTAGTACATTTAAAAAAGTTGGGAATTACTGCTCTGACAGAATCCTCCACAATAGGAAAGCTCCGAATTCTTTTATGTTATTATCTAGATCAGGCCAACACAACCTGTGGCCTGCGGGCTGGGTGGGCAGCTTGTGGCACTCCAAAGGATTTTCTCTACATTCAAAGGATGTTTCCTCTACATTTTTCACTGAAATCTTCCCGCTGCAAGCCTCTGGCTGTAAGCAAGCCCAGGACTGTAGGCCGCAGGTTGTGCTGGTCTGATCCAGATAATGAAGCCTAGCAACCTGGTATACTCAGACTAATAAAAATTAGAAGAACTAGCACACAATTGTTAAAAATAAGTATATTTTTACCTTAATGAAGTGATGATCTGCTCGAGGGATTGTTGAATCTCTGGGCTTAGTCAATATATACTGATTGTTTTGGGAGTCAATTAGCATACTAAGACCTAAATTATCTTCTACTTCATGTTTTGATACATTTCTCTTAGAATTGGCCTCCTCCTCTTCTACTCTCAAAACTGCCTCAAAATTGACCCCTCTTACCTATAAGAGTAAATAAAACAATGATCAATAATGTGCATTTAAAACTCTTTAGAATTCAATGATGAACATTCATTTTTTGGTAAAAACAAATTTTTTTCAGGTAGAAAATGGATAAAATGACAACAAAAGATTAATTCCAATAGATCTATTAAGTATAAGTTCAATTATGTTGTAGGAAAACAATTATCAACTTATCACCTGAAAAATGTACCAGCATGAATAATAACTTCAACTTTAAATTTAAAAAATAAAATTAAAAAAACTTACAGAAACTCCAAATATTTTCTTCTTCTTCAATCATCTACTTTGGTGGGCCCAGATGACATGTTCAGCGAGGTTAAAGGCTTTTAAAATATTTGTCAAGTTTTCTTCTCAACTGAAATTACTCAATTTCAAAAATATTTTTGTTGCTTTTCATCTTTTCTCCTCTGATCTGTGTTTTTTCTTACTGTGCCTGCCAATGATCACCACCTTCCAATTGCCAGATTTCCTATGTCATACATACAGTTCAAAGCCAATTTTCAGTTGTAGTTCTAACTTTTAATTGGTATCTTAGGGGCACTGATATAACTCCGCAGCATGGATTCCTGCTAAAGGTATTTATTGAAGCTACATCTTATGATCTTTCTCCCTTTTGTATCAGTATTTCTTCTCCTCCCCTACCCCACCCATTCTTCACAGTATACTTCCCATAGTATATATAAGTAATGGGATCATAGGTCTGATAAGGCAATGTAAGAAGAGTGGGAAAGAGGTAGTCTTCTAATATGTATTTTATGATAAGTGGGGCTAACTATATTTGTTGAAAAAGCAGCAAACTGGAAGGGAAAGATAAGGGAATAAGCATTTATATAGAGCCTACCTACTATATGCCAGTACTCTAAGTGCTTCTGATCCTGATAACAATCCTGCAAGGTAGTTACTTTCATTATTATCCCCATTTTAGGAATGAGGAAACTGAGACAAACAGCGGTTAAGTGACTTGTCCAGGATCCCAGAGGTATCAAGTGTCTGAGGCTGAATTTGAACTCAGGTCTTTCTGACTCCAAGCCCAGCACTCCATCCACTGTGCCTTCAGCTATCTCTAAAGTTGACAAATATGCTGCTCTCTGGGAACTTCCTTCTATAGAGGATATTTAAAATTTCAGTGTAGCAAGTCAACCTAGTCTAAATTTGAACATATAAAATCACTTAAATAATTATTTCATTTGATTCGGTGTGAAGCTAAGATATGTGAAAAAAAATCCAGAAATCTTTTCTATCATATTACTTACTGACTTATTGTCATCAAAAGCATGTTCCTCTATTTCTTCCTCTAAACGATCTGCTGCTTTTCTTACATCTTCAAGAATTTCATCGAGCATGGACAGACTTTTGTTCTGATGTTGCATATTTTTAAGGGCTTCAATTTGATGCTTTTCTGCTGCCAGAAGCTCAACATATTCTGTTTCTTCCTGATTAGTTTTTAGAAAATTAAGAATGAGATTTAAAACAACAACAACAAAAACCAAGGCAATAACTTATTCATAACAGTTTAAACCACCTTCCCAGGATTGAAAAAGGAATAATTACTTTGAATTAGCTCTACTGAGGGTCCACAGTGTTTCCACTTTAGACATTCAAACAACTGCCTTCTTGCTAGGCAATTGTTAATAACCTTTCATGTGTAAGAGTGTAAGCTCACTTCAAGTTGGGATTTAATTCTTTTTACTTTTACTCCCAGTGCCTGGAACAATGCCTGACATAGAGCAAGCAATCAATAAGTTCTTGTTTAATTGAGTGATGGGCTAAAGCTACTGTTCCAGGCACTAGAAACACAAAGATGAAGACACTGTCTCTGCTTACAATCTCATAGGAATGATAAACATGTAAACATAGAATTATACTAAAACAAAATCGATCAGTAAGCAAGTATTTGTTAAGTACCTACTTTGTATGTGCCAAGCACTGTGCCCTAACCACAGTGTGGATACAAAGCAAAAACAAAACCAGTCCCTGCCCCCCAGGAACTTACCATCTAATGGGAAAAATAACACATACATAAATAAGTACATATAGGACACAAAGAATATACTGCACTTAGTTTTACTGTTGTGCTAGCAACTAGAGGGACTGGAAAAACCTCCTCAGAAGGTAGCATTTGAGCTGATTGTTGAAGGAAGTCAGGGAAGCTAAGGTGAGGAAGAAGAGCTTTCCAGGCCCACTGGCAGGACATGGAAGTAAAGAATAAGATGTAGGAAAAGACTAGATTGAGAAGGGCTTTAAAAGCCAGAGAATATTATCCTGAGGTAATAGGAAGCCACAGAAATTGACTGTGTAGAGGGTGACATGGTCAGAAATACACTTAGGCTAGTTTGGAGTAAGAAGAGGTGACGAAGTACAGGGAGAGAAGGGGATACATACGAGAGCTCTCATGAAGGTAAAAAACCATGAGATTTGGCAATTGATTGGATATCTGGGGCAAGTGAGGTATTAGAATAAAAGATGACATGTAGGTAGAGAACCTGGATGGCTGGAAAGATAGAAATGTCCTTGACAATATGGGAGCTGGGAAGAAAGGTGGATCTCCGGGGAAAGATAAGGAGTTTTGTTTTGGACCTGTTGAGTTTGAAAAGCCTGTAGGATATCTAGTTCAAAACAAAGTATTAGAAAAGGTCTGAGGAAGGAAGAATCACTTCCAGTGGGAGTCTAGGGAAGGTGATAAGGAAAGGCTTCATGGAAGAAGTAGGACCTAAATAGGGCTTTGAAGGGAGGGGTTTTAATAGGCAGAGATGGAAAAAGTCAGGAGGAGCCATTCTAAGTACAAGAAACAATAGAAATAAAAGGCACAAAACTAGAAGGATGGGAGTAGAAGAGTTTGCTGGAATGTAAAGCATTTGCAGAAGTAGTATGAAAAGACTAAAAAGGCTGCTAGGGCCTTGAACACCAGGAAAAAAAAAAGTCTGCATTTCATTTGGTGGGCAAATGCCAGCCACCAGCATTTCTGAATGCACTGAGGTTTTCCTAAAATGGTCAGTGTGATGGATATATGAGGTAAGAGAAACTCTGGAGTCAGGAAGACTAGAAAGAAAGCTATTAAAACAGTACATGTGAGAAATAATGAAGGCCTGAACTAAAGTGACTTTAACAGAAGAAAAATCAGTTACTCAGTAAGTTATTTTTTAAGTGCCTACAACGTGTCAAATACTGTGCTAGGGGCTACAAATGCAACAAATAAAGCAATCTCTAATCTCAAAGAGCTTAAGTTTCTAATTTCTAACAGGGGAATTGACAAGGACTAATATAAGTATATACATGATAAAGAAAATAAATACCAAGTAATTAAGGTATTTGAAAGGGAAGGCACTAGCAGTTAGGAGCAAGAAAGGCATCATCGAGAAGGTGGTGCTTCAACTGCTTCCTAAAGGAAAAGAGGGATTCTGTGGTGCAGATGAAGAAGGAACATTCTAGGTGTGGGGAATAGTGCAAAGCCAGAAATGGGAGATGGAGTAGAAAGGAGGGAACAGATGTGAGAAATACTACTGAGGAAAAAAAGAACTTAGAATTTAGTAATACCTAAACAATCTTGGGCAAATGACAACCTCTCTGAGTCTCAGCTTTCCCATCCACAGTAGTTACTTGGCTATACTCCTCACCTCAATATACATATATCTCACTGATCTGTCAGGAGGTTCAAATGATGGTCTTAAAAAGTAATATATCAACTTTCAATGCTTTGTAAATGTCAGCTATAATTAACTTACTATCATGTAATAACTAACGCTATTACCATAATTTATTCATGAAAAGGACAGATTAATCAATTGGCTATCACTCCATGCAACATTCCTGTAACTTCTCAGACCAAAATACCATGCCCACTACTCCTCTCCCAATATATGCTAACCTTGTCTATTAGAATATAAGCTCCTTGAGGGCAAAAAATGTCTTGTTTTTTGTATTTGTATCCCTAGCACTTAGCAGAGTGCCTGACACAGTCCTTAATAAATGCTTTTTTCATTCATTCATTTTCATAAAAAAACAAATGATTTGTAAAGCACCATATATATATACATACATACACACATACATATGTACATACATACATAAATACACACACACAAACATATCTCTTTTCATTTAATCCTCACAACCACCCTGGGAAGAAGGCAGTATAGGTATTATTAACTTCTCTAAATATCAATTCCCTCATGTAGTAGCTCACAGAAGGGACTTTGGAAGTTGCCTAATTCAATCTTCTCATTTTATAGATGAGCAAACCAAGATTCAGAAAATGACTTGAACATGACACAGGTAATAAATGGCAGAGCAAAGATTTGAAGCCAGGACTTTTGATTCCAAATTTAGTGAGCTTTACACTGCTCAATGCTGAGTGCTTCAAATGACTTCTTTTCCCACTTCTACTTAAGTATCAGGCCAGATATCAAACCAAGATTCCTCCTTTCTCTAAGTCCACTATTCTTTTCAGGATGGTTGTGTTACAGATCAGTTAATGTGAAAAGGTAAATTCTAAATACATGATTTGGGTGTGGACACACAAAAGGTCTAAGAGACAGGGCAAATGGATCAATGATACTCAGCATGATTGCTATGCTAACTTACCGACAAGTTACTAAATGGATGTCAGTATTAAACCCACAAAGCTGTCATCCATCCATCCATCCATCCATCTATCTATCTATCTATGAATATCATCCCTTTTCCCTCTCATCTTGCCCAGGCTGGAAGTTCGGAGACTACCCACAGCCAATTCCACTACTTATCAGCAGGGCCTGTTTGCCCCTCCTTAGGCAATCTGGTGCTCATCCCTGCCCTCAGGGCCCACCACAATGAACTTAGTGTGGATAATAAACTAGCCACTGTAGCTTATAACTCCTGAGCTCAAGAGATCCTCTAGCCTTAGCCTCCTTAGTAGTTGGTATTAAAGACATGCACCATCACATCCAGCCAATGTAGTACATTTATAAAAGCTATTTGCTTAGCTTGGATGTTGGGGTGAAGAGGTAAATGTGCAAAGGGGACATTCTCACATAGGATTTGCAGCAATAAGCTTATTTTAATGGATGGAAACAACATTTAGGATGATTAAGAATTTATAATCAAATCAAATGGTTTGTGATATGTAAAAAATATTCTGTTTCTGCTGTATGAGAGATTTATATATAGTATATTAGGTAACAAAATTATCAATGGCAATCAGATGATTTGGTGTATTGGGCTAATGCTGTGGTTTTAGGAACCTAAAATGTTTTCAATCCTCACTCATTCAGTGGGAGACTAAAGCAGAAGAATCAACAAAGCATTACTGTCTTCTAGCTATGTACCCAGGTAGAACCCTAGGTGGCATCAGATTCAAGAGGATAAGAGGGAAATGAAGAATAACCAGAGAGCCAGCAGGGCCAGTTATTTTCCAGTCTAGAAAAAAGTTACCCAAGATAGTTGAGTTCTCCTGGAGAAATAGGTTAAAAAAATTGTTTAATAGCCAGGCCATGACTCACTTCTTTCAATACTCAACTCAAGCACCACCTCCTACATGAAGGCTTTCCTGATTCCCTAGTGGGCTCCCTCCATAACTACTTTGTATTTAACTACCATGTATTTATTCTGTATATACTTACATATGTACAATGTGTTGTTTTCTCCCAACAGAATGTAATCACAAGTGCAGGGATTATTTCATTTTGGTTTTGTACTCCCAGTATCCAACACAATGCTTGGCACATAACAGACATTTAACAAATGCTTGATTGCTAGAACTGGAATGGACCTTATAAGTCATCTAAAATAAATTCCTTATTTACAGATGAGGAAACTGAGGCCCAGAGAGGTTAAGCAAGTTGCTCAAAGCCACACAAGTAGTGACAGAAGTGAGAATGAAGGATTAAGAGACATTATTCAAACCAGCAGTCATCATAACTAGGGGAAGGTGACTGGGGCTTTCCCTAGATACCTGCATCTTGGGGGTGGTGGGGAGAAGAATGATGTTAAGCATTTCTGGGGGAGGAGATATGCTTTGTCTTTTTTGTCATCCACTGAACAGAGTCCTTTGCTAGTCGTGTCTCCATAGTGAGGAGTTGGGAGGGGAGGGCAGAAGAAGGGTAGTCAGGCCCTAGAAAGAGCAAGGGAGAATGAGTCAGAGCAGGGTCACAAGCTGCACGTTGTCTGTGGAGCAGAGTGATAGAAATGAGTCTTCACTTCTCCCAATACAGGCATATTGTGGAGACAAGTGACAGCTGAGAGGGTGGTGTCTTGGGGGGCAACACTCTATCTAGGCAGCATCTATCAACTAAAGCTTTTCCCAACTCTAAGGGATGAGGTACTAGCTGGGCCAGGAAGGAAAGCTTCAATAGGCCAGGTGATGCTTAGATAAAATGAGGTCCCCAGTTCACCACATTCTCAGCTGTCACTTATCTCTCTGATACATTTGGCAGCCTATCACTTTGGGCAGCAACCCTGGTCTAGAGAAAAGTCCTTCCTTCCTAAAAAAGCCTAGGTCCTCTTGTTAGAGTTCCCACAAGTCCTGCTTCATCTTGGAGCATTGCAACCTCCTTTCTTAGAGAGTCCATACCTTGAAATGTCCTTTGTCTGTGGGCAGTTCCTGGTCTATGATAGGATTTCCTCTGCCATAGAGGAGCTGGACCCTCATCTGTGAAGAGTCATATGGTAGGGGACCCTAAAATCCCTAAGCCTTACCCCTTGCCCTCAATCGTAGTCAAATAAATATCCAAGGTTATATATACGTTTCCCTCATAAAATTTGAATACTTAATTTTTTTTTTTTTTTGTGAGGCAATTGGGGTTAAGTGACTTGCCTAGAGTCACAGAGGTAGCGAGTGTTATGTGTCTGAGGCCACATTTGAATTCAAGTCCTCCTGACTCTGGGGCCGGTGTTCTATCCACTGCGCCACCTAGCTGTCCCTTAATTAAAAATTTTAATATTGAATTGAAACATTAAAGAATTAACATTTAATCTATTTTAATTTTAAATTGTAATCACTATCCACACTAGATATTTTAGTCACTATTGTAGAAAGGTGTCCAAAAAACATAATGAGATTTTTGATTGTGGCTAAAAATGTTTTTACAAGGATGAGTCAACAGCTACTAAGGAAAATTTAAGCATATTTTCAGAAACATGAACAAAAATGTTGCCAATTATAATTATATTGTAAAAAACTATGATAATACAAATTAAGATACAGTAACATACACAGCATGTATAAAATATCCGTGAAAATGAAAGTTTGTTCTCCCATATCTTTTCACTTTCATTTTTATTAGCAGAATATAGGTAATGTAACCAATTACTAGTACTAAGGTTTTTGGTAATAGGGAGCGTACTGCATATTTCATTATTCTGGGAGCAACATTATATGTGAGAATACTAAGATATTTAAGGAAAAATGTTTTCTTCTAAGTGAGACATGAGAGTGTATATTTTATTGCAAGCAGATACTTTTGGTGGCTTACCTCTAATGAAATATTAGCAACTTGAACATTTTCCTTTTTGTTCTCTATATTTCTTCCTAGCTCAAAATGAACGGCAACATCTTCTCTGTGAATACTTAATAAAATCTGAAAAAACTAACCTTTATTGCAGCTTCCCTCAAAGCCTCCAGTCGCTGTCTACTACTTTCTTTCATGTTCACAACATCTTTGTAATCTCCTTGCAGGGCTCTTTGGAGTCCATGGATAGCTTGAAAGACTGAATTCTCACTTTCATTCAATTCCTTTTGGAAAATTTCAAATGTGTGTACCTGAAAGAGTTTCTCTTCATCTGACAGTCCAGAATTCTTTTCCACTGCTCTTATTGCATTTTTTAGTTTGTTAAGAACCACATTCTTTTGTCGAAGAAGGCCAGATAGTTTTCTACAATTGTCGAGAACCCACTGTTTTCTCTGAGTAATAGCTGCTCCTTTCCCCCGATGCAACTTTATTGCATGTTTTGCTACATCTTCATGTTCTGCAGCAAACACTATCAAATGAAATAGTGAAATCAAGATCCAAAGATAAATTCTTCCCATCACCTTCATGATCCAAGTTTGCAAAGCAGAGTAGTTCAATGATGGATGTTATTTAAAATGTGCATTTTAACACATGCTGGGCTGAAAAAGATAGTACATTGTACATGTACAATTTAAAATGACTCATGGAATGAAGACAAGAGAATACCAAAATTAGTCCCAGAAAAACACTACCTAACAAAATAACTGTATAAGGTTATTTGTTTAGAAAGATTACAATTCCTGCCATATCTATTAAAAGACAATCTAGTGATCCCTAAGCCTGTCTTGGCTGCAAAGTATTTTAAGAACTGATATACCTACAAGAAGTTTTTGTTTTTTAAATGTTCATACTTTTCAAAAGAAGTCTATAATAATCAGTTATCTGTGGACCATCCAGGAAGAAAACCTATTGCCAGGTACAGACTATTATTCCGAAGTCCAACATGAAAAATTTTCATCAACTCTTATACATTAATACCATGCCTTTCATTTTTCCATGTTTTGAATCCAAATTACAAAAAGCATTCTATACACATACCTCACACTATTATTATTCATCTGGTGACTTATAACCCTGCTCCAATGAAACTAACTGATCCTGGAATGTCACTTTGTGACATACAACATAATGTTGTATGTTTGTAAAACCAATTGATGATATTAGGTAAGGGTGCCTGCAGTTAGGTGCTTAGTAAAAATGATTTTTAAAATGATCATTTGTATTTAAATATAAATTTCTAGATCAGGGTTGTAGAACCTGTGGCCTCCAGGCTACATGTGGACTGGAGGCTGCAGGTTCCTCACCCCTGGTCTAGGTCTTTATTAAATTGGCACATATCATGCCAATCAAATTCCAAGGATCACCCCATTATTAATTTACAAAATGGAAGTTAACAAAACAAAAACTACTATTAAAAACAACCTGGGGGGGAAGGCTACCATTTACATACCACATGGTTTTTAATCATTAAAAATCACAACACTTGTTTTCCTCAGTTTCTAATATCAAGACAAGTCTGTTATTTCCACAATCACATACACTCTCTGATCCTTTGTCAAGAAAGATTTACAGGGGGCCAGAGCCAAGATGGCAGAGTAAATGCAGTGACTTGCTTAAGCTCTCCCCCAAACCCCTCCAAATACCTATAAAAATGGCTCTAAACAAATTCTAAAGCAGCAGAACCCACAAAAAGGCAGAGTGAAACAAATTTCCCGCCCAAGATAACCTGGATGGTTGATCAGCAAGGTCTACCACGCCAGGCGGGGAGAGGAACGCAGTTCAGGCGTGGGTGCGCAGGCCTCAGTAAACCTGGAGCAGGCCTCAGAAGACTGAATCACAGGCAGCAGTGGCAGCTGAGACTTTTCAACCAGTGAACATCAAAGACAACTTAGAAGGTCAGTGGGAAAAGTCTGTTTCTGTGGTGGTGAGAGAGAAGCACAGTGGGGTCCCAGTCCCAGTCCCCAAACGCGGCGGCCACCTCCAGAGCTTCCAGCCCATGGACTGAGGGGGAATCGAGTGGCTCATCAGAGCGGGATTGTAGGGCTCTCTTTGCTGGTGCAGAATTCTCTTGCTTTGCCCATGCTTGGATCTAGGTCACTGTTCTTCGTGGCAGCCCTGGGGTGAGCAGGGGAGCTGGTAGTGGCGGTGGAGAGGAAATCTTCCTCACAGTTCCAAAACAGAAAAGAGTGCGTGTGGTCACTCATAGACTAGAGCAAAGGCCAGGAAAGGAGTAAACACCTCGACCTTGATCGTAGCACCTTGGAAGAACTGAAAATTTACAGGTCCCTAGAAGTATCTCTGAAAACAGCTGCACAAAACCCCTAAAGCTTGGGACAGTACATTCTTCACACTGGAAGTAGATTCCTACCTTAACAAAAAGTTTATAACTCAAGTAATTGGCCAGGATCATGAGTAAGCAGCGCAAAGAGTCAGACCATAGAATCTTCTTTGGTGACAAAGAAGATCAAAACATACAACCAGAAGAAGACAATAAAGTCAAAGCTCCTACATCCAAAGGCTCCAAGAAAATATGAACTGGTCCCAGGCCATGGAAGAGCTTAAAAAGAACTTTGAGAATCAAGAGAAGTAGAGGAAAAACTGAGAATGATGCAAGAAAATCATGACAAACAAGTCAACAGCTTGCTAAAGGAGACCCAAAAAAAATAATGAAGAAAATAACACCTTAAAAAATAGCCTAACCCAAATGGCAAAAGAGGTCCAAAAAGCCAATGAGGAGAAGAATGCCTTAAAAAGCAAAACTGGTCAAATGGAAAAGGAAGTCCAAAAGATTACTGAAGAAAATACTTCCTTAAAAATTAGAATAGAGCAATTGGAAGCTAGTGACTTTATGAGAAATCAAGACACTGTAAAACAAATCCAAAAGAATGAAAAAATAGAAAACAATGTGAAAGATCTCATCGGAAAAACAACTGACCTGGAAAACAGATCCAGGACAGAGAACTTAAAAATTATTGGACTATCTGAAAGCCATGATCAAAAAAAGAGCCTAGATATCATCTTTCAAGAAATTATCAAGGAAAACTGACCTGATATTTTAGAACCAGAGGGCAAAATAGAAATTGAAAGAATTCACTGATCACCTCCTGAAAGAGATCCCCAAAGAAAAACTCCTAGGAATATTGTAGCCAAATTCCAGAGTTCCCTGGTCAAGAAGAAAATATTGCAAGTAGCCAGAAAGAAACAATTCAAGTATTGTGGAAACACAATCAGGATAACACAAGATTTAGCAGCTTCTACATTAAGGGACCGTAGGGTTTGGAATATAATATTCCAGCAGGCAAAGGAGACAGGATTACAACCAAGAATTGCCTACCCAGCAAAACTGAGCATAATCCTTCAGGGGAAAAAATGGACATTCAGTGAAATAGAGGACCTTCAAGCATTCTTGATGAAAAGACCAAAGCTGAATAGAAAATCTGACTTTCAGATACAAGACTCAAAAAAAAAACATGAAGAGGTGGCAGCTAAGTGGTGCAATGGATAGAGCACCAGCCCTGGAGTCAGGAGGACCTGAGTTCAAATGCGGCCTCAAACACATAATACTTACTAGCTGTGTGACCTTGGGCAAGTCATTTAACCGCACTGCCTACCAAAAAAAAAAAAAAAGAAAGAAAAGAAAAACATGAAGATTTGGTAAACAGGAAAGAGAAATCATAAGAGATTTATTAAGGTTAAACTGTTTACATTCTGCATGGAAAAATGATATTTGTGACTCATGAGTCCTTTGTCAGTATTAGAGTAGTTGGAGGGAAAAAATTATATGTATGTATAGATAGATAGATAGAGGGCACAGGGTGAGTTGAAGGCGAAGGGGTAATATCTGGAAAACATAATTTTTATTTTTATTTTTTTTTTGGCAAGTGGGGTTAGGTGACTTGCCCAGGGTCACACAGCTAGTGTCAAGTGTTTGGTCTGAGGCCGGATTTGAACTCAGGTCCTCCTGACTTCAGGGCCGGTGCTCTATCCACTGCGCCACCTAGCTGCCCCTTGGAAAATAAAATTAAGGATTATACTGGGAGAAGGACAAAGGGAGAGATAGAATGGGGTAAATTATCTAGCATGAAACAGACAAGAAAAGGTTTTTACAGTGGAGGGGAAGTGGGGGAAGGTAAGAGGGAATGACTGAATGTTATTCTTATCAGATTTGGCTTAAGGTAGAAGGGAGGGCAGATTGGGGGAAGGGAACCTCTGGACTAGATCCATAATCTAATAGAGAGGGAGATAGATCCAGAGCTAAATCCAAAATGGAATCACAAGATGGAGTCAGTGTGGTTCACTCAATTCCCACAGACCAGACCCCACGCCTACTCAGCATGAGAGTTTTGACCAGTTTCAGAGTCAGTTTACCCCTCCTTAGGTTCCTTAGTGCCGCCTCCCCTCACCCCCAACCCCAGATCACCATACTGATGCTAGGCTAAATGTAGACACCTGATCAGCTTGGCCTATTGCTGCTCATAACTTTCAAGCTCAGAAGATCAGCAAGTCTTAGCCTATCTAGTAGCTGGGATTTGAGGTGTGCACTACCATGCTAAGTTCTGGTAAACCAGGCTTTGATAAAGCCCACTGGGATTCAAATGGAGCTACCTGACTATGCCTTTAAACCAAAATCACTGTGGCTCTCACTGATTGGCCAATAAGAGGTCCCAGCCCAAGCCTCACTTGCTCATGTTTGGGTTTTAATGGCTCAGATTGAGTGTAAATAGCAATTGCTTCTGTTCTGGCCAGAAACTTTGAGGGTCTTCCCCCTCCCAGATTGATTCTTTTGGGAAGTCAAACTAGGCCACCTTTTGCCTCAAATTTTAAGTATCCTTTAATCACTGAATATAATGGGATATTACTATGCCAAGAGAATTTAAGAATGTAACAAATTCAGAGCAGCCTGGGAAGACCTGTAAATTGGCTAAAGGTTAATTTTGTTTCAAAGAACCAATTTTTAGTTTTTATCACTTTTTTTATGTATTTTATTTCCAATTTATTTATTTCTCCTTTAACTTTTAACATTACCTCTTACACTTATTTTGAATTTATTTTAGCTTTCTAATTTTTTGAAAAAATGTTCTATTTTGTTAACTTATGTTTTAGAGATATAATTTTCCTCTCAAGATTGCTTTAGCTGCATCTCAGAAACTATTATATTGCTTCATCATTTTTTCTCATGATTCTCAATTATTGCTATGATTTCTTTTTTGACTCACTTATCATTTAGGATTCTTTATTAAATCTCCATTTAAGTCTATATCTTTTATTTGTACTTTCTGAACTGCTTACTACTTTTATTGCATTATGTTCTGTTAATGCTATGGTTACTCATTCTGCCTTTTTACATTTCCTTGCAATATCTCTGTACCTCAAGACCTAGTCAATCTTTGGAAAAGTTACATGTGTGTTGAGAAATATATATGTTCGTCAGCAGTCTCATTTAGAAACACTGTAAGTCTTTCAGCTCTTGGCTTCTCTAGTAATTTGTTCAAATCTATATTTTCCCTCCTGTTAATCTTTGTTAGGTCTGTCTAAAACTGAGACATTACAGTTTTCTTTTACTATTGTGGTTGGGTTAATTTTTCCTTTGTGAAGGCAT